GTCCCTCCGATATACAACTGCCTTTCTTTGTAGTCTTATCTATTTTTTTATTGAATTACAAAATCCAACATATGAGATGTTGCAGTACTGCACGCATGCAGTACAAAAACCCTGCCAGCATATTACATTATGGGAATGTACCATATATACTGTGCTATAGCAGTTTCTAACCATATTAATGGTGGGTCCTAAAGCTCACCTTCCCCCCTTCCCTCTCGCTTTGTTTCCTTTTTACAGGGTAGTGAGTTTTGTGTTTGTTCGCATAGGCCAAAGCTTTCATGCCTACTTCCATTACAAGATTGTCAAAATTCACAATCCCTACTGCTGGATTAAACCCACCAGGGGTGGGACTGCCAACTCATAATATGATTTCCCCTGCGGCTGGAGAGAGAGGGAGGGAGGGAAAGCAAGGCACGATTGAGGAAAGAATATAAAAGAGAGAGAGAGAGAGGGATGCGAGAGAGGTGAAACAAAAAGGGATGGAGGGCAGTTTCAAGGGGTAACTGAAAAAAAACAGTTACAGATTTCAACCAAGGGCTGTTGGATGGAAAATAGAAACAAGGGATTAGGTGGAAAGGCCCGGGGGGATGGGAGAACACAACAGTGATGAGACATGAAGGAATGGACAGACCAAAGGAGGATGGGAACACTAAAAGCAATAAAATAAAATTAAGATGAGCACTTTTTTTTAACTTACTATCCTTAAAAGGCCTTGAAAAACAAACACACAAAAGCATCTTAACATCAGATTTGAGACTTAGTGCCTGGCTGGACCAAAGGATATCTCCCTTGAGAACACCTTAAAGGAGAAAACCAATTACTGTGAGAGGGGACAAGATTAGAGTTCAGAGTACCTGAGTTTACAGCAGGAATTAGAAAGAGAAAGGCTTTTGCTTTTTGGCTTTGAACCTGGCCCTAGTATGGCTTCGCGAAGGGTTATTCAGGAAAAAAGAGTTTAATGGCTCATCCATCTAATAGCCAATAAGCTTAAGACAATCCGCTCGTTTAATTTGGTATGGGCTTTAAACCCCCAAGAAAACCTAAATCCATGCAGTTTTCTCCCCGTTTTTACAGACATTCAAAGCTAGAGGATGGTATTAGTGAGATTTGAAAACAATTATTTCCAATCAAGATTTCACAAGCAAAACCCTGAAAAATAAAGAGTGTGCAAATATGTATCTAAAGCATAAATAACTCTTTATTCCTTCTGTTCACCTCACAAACACACGGGGATTAGGCGAGACTCGTGCACTCTCGCTTCTGAATGGGTAGATGTCACATGGTGCTGAACTACATTATCAATCCCTTGTTTTGCTTTTCTGGCACTGTATGTGATAAAAAACAATCAAAATTCAACCTCTGAAGCACCATCGTAGACGTCGTCAAATCACATTGATTCAAATGTTCCAGCAGAGCCATTAACCAATGAAACGATGGTACGCAAATGTACTGAGAGTCTGGTTGCCTGGGCAGTTGATCATTGCGGTGAATAATCAACCTGTTGAACAATCGAAGCTCAAATAGCTTGCCTTGTGATTCCACTCAAGGTACACTCCAGCCACACACAAACACACACACACACATATCAGGAATGCCCAAAATCAAGAATCGCATCCATGTGTGTCATGTTTGAGTCTGCAAGCTTATTTAATGGTAAAAGGACTGATTATTATACAGCACTTTTCTACACTTTTCATTGTTTTTATGTCTTTGTATGTTATAATTTTGGTCTTCTTCTTAACCAATGGTTGACAGGCCAACAACAGCACTAGCGAAGGTAGTCGTGGCGACAATAAATGGTTACCTGTAGACAACAGTCTGCAAAACTCACAGCCAGCTGTGGGAAGGACTATTGCAGAACCATACTGGATATGTTTCACTGTACTTTCAGCATCTGTGGTGTAGTCTGACATAAGGAGGAGTGTCAATTCCATTCATTTAGATTCAGACAGGTAGATTGTACCTTGGGGATGAAGCTAATCTCCCATCCATCGAAGGAATAGTAGAACGGTTGCCAGTGGACCTCCACTGATGTCTCTGTCATGGATTTGAAGACTAAAACATCTGGACTTGAGAGATCTGAAGGAGTAGAGACATATCATTGTTCTTCAGTGAACCAACAGTCCATAAATCACAACTGTCTAATGCTTAAAAAACTCTCTTCTTTCTCTTTTTAAGTTTGGATACGTGAAAGTTTTCATAGTTTTGATGATATATAACTCACTGAAAAAGAACAGCTCATTCTTTAATTTTCAAAGTGCTATAATTAAATGTTTCCCAACAATCTTTCCAGAATATCTAATTAAACCCTTAAAATTAAGTTTAGCAAAAAAATAATGCCCAAAATAAATCATATTCTAGTGGAAAAATGGATCCATCAGAGTAAAGTGCCCTGAATCTAATTTATTAGTAGAAATTCAACTTAAATTAAATTCAGTTGTTGTTGAAATTGAGAATAATTTTACAAGCCAAGCCAGCACTAATAGCAATACACTGTATGTACCTAAACGTCACCTAATACACCGATCATACAATATTTTGCTTCCAGTGGAAGAAAAAAAAACTTATTCAGGGTTTTAATGCTTGCAGAGTGTTGGTAAGCGTGAAAGCAATTGGTGTATTTCAATATCAGGTGCAAGGACCCGGCATTAACACAGTGTGTGTGTGTGAGTGACACTAAGCAGTTGTTACAGGTGAAAATCACAAGCAATTTGCACAGACAAGCAAGTGGTATTCTCACTCTGTTGACACAGAGAAACATCTTTGGGAGGACTTGACAAAAAAAAAAAAATCGTGATAGACACTGTGTGCACATTTGTTAATGTAGAACTGCACGTGCAATAATCCAGGAGCCCGGGGATATTGCGTGAAGGTAAATTGAGATATTAAATTGGGAAACAAAGATGCTTTCAGGCTCATTCTGTTGCACCACAAGGGAACATTTTATAAAAAAAAAAGAACAAAAAAAGAACAAAAACATATGATTGCACTTACAGGTCCAAACAGTAATACTGGCAGGAACGCTGATAGTGTTGTTAATGACAGCGAACACATTGATGTTGTACTCCATGCCAGCTTGGAGCTCCAAGATAGTGCAGGTAGTCGTGTTGCCTGGAATCCTTATCTCTAGCTGCACACCTGACAGGGAGACAGGTGAAGAGATATACACCGATACATGGATGCACTGCTTTTTTTTTTTTTTTTACAAAGAAATAGGAGATGTCGATGCTTTCAAGAGATTTCGAAGCAACGGGAAGTTAACTCACGGCTGTCCTGCTTTGAAAGGTCAGCGTGGATCTGTACTTACCTCCGGGGGTGCTCGGTGTGTAGGTCACCAAGAAATCTGTCAGCACAACTGACCCCTCCCACTCCAGCTCGATGGTTTGATCTGTCACCCCTCGAACTTTCAAGTTCATGGCGGGTGCAACTGTTAACGAAAAACAGAAAGCAAAACAACAAATTTGAAATTTTTTTTGTACATTTGTTTTTGGTGTAGCAATGAAAAATACAAATCTTACACTAGTAATCTGCTACTGTAATAAATGTGTGATAAAAAAAAAACCTTAACACAAAGAAAAACACTGAAAAATAGGCTTGAGTGGTACCATCTGTCTACCAGCAGCAGAAAGATGAGCAGCCGGACAATCTGTCCCTTCATCAGGCTGACACTGAAGCAGAAAGTTACAGGATTAAAATAGTTGTCATCAGCTTAGCGGAAGGAAATAACTACTGTTTTAACATGAAGATTTAATTATTATTAATTGTACGGATTCTTTTTTTAAGTAACATTTGGAACCATATTAATTCTTACAAAAAGAATTTTTTTATTTGTGTGATTTGAACAAGTATCTGTGGAGATTACTTCAGTAGATGCCAAAAAACAAAACAAAACAAAAAAACGACGAAGAAAAAAATGTTGTGCGCCTGCGGTGAGGTGTGACTCACAAGAATGGCAATCTGTCTGCTCTGTGAGATGGGCGAGCGACAGATTGCTTCCAAAAAACGTTTTCTGTGTGGATTCGCCTACTTTAATCAGAAAACTGTGAGCATTTAGTAATCGAATTAGTATAAAGGCTGCAATTTGCAACAGAAGGTTCACATTGCATATGTCATTATTTCAGTGTCTCGCACAGAGAGCGGTCAACCAGGTTGCGTATCCCTTGCTGTAATCCTTTGGTGAGCCAGCTTAAGCGCAGCCTGTCCAGTGAGTTAAGTAAGCCTGACATCCAAACTCTACAGATAAAAGATAATTTTACATGAGAGCTGTTGCCTTATCAGCTCAGCCAGATCAGTCAAAGGGCTAGAAAATGTTAAGGTGGTTATTAATCATGCCGATTTTAGAAGAGACATTAAAGTCTTACTTGTGGGCTTCGCAAGCTACTTATGTAGGAAATATGAGAATTTGTGTATTTTTGAAGCATTTCTGCAATAATCATTGAAGGTCCTGTGAAAAGGCTGAAACTTTTTAAAAGAAACTGGCTCGCTATAGTGGATTATACTGTGAGTGGAGTTTCTTTGGTGCACGTTCAACATAGCCAGACTTCAAACCCCAGTCAGAAAGGATGTTAGTTAGTTATCATCTTTCTTTGTTAACCCACACGTTGTCCTTCAGGCTCTGTGCGTGCTCCGATTTAAAGGAGGTGTTTGACCCATCATTTGACTTTTCTTTCTCACAAAGTGGATCGATTCAATGCAGCCTACTTCAAGTCAGAAACACCGGCAGACCAACAGGTGATGGAGATCTATAAAGAATGTGAGGAGTGTAACGGCAAAACAGAGCACTAGTTGGAAATAAGGTAAGAAAGCAATGCTGACGCTTGATCGGGTCTCTTTAGATTTGTGGCAACAAAGTAAAATTCATCCGTGCAACATTCTTGGTAATAACTATCCTCCTGACAGACTGATCAGTTTTGTAGTCTGTGTTCTGGCAGCAATTTCAGGACTGTACAACTAAACTGATGTTGAATTAGTACAAAATGTAAAAACATATCCCTGCACTATTTGTATCACATTTGTCTCATCACGCGTGCAATTATTCCACATTTCCTTTGGTGTTATTACCAACATATGGCTAAACAAGCTCAATGTATAAACTGTATCTATTCACCAGAGAATATAAATCACACTTATACCGCCGCCGAGGAAAAGAATCACTGAAAACATGTCACTTCCACTCAATTTACACTAAACTAACTAAATGATGCCTTAACTGAACACTTGCTTTGAGTCCGGTTATGTTTTAAGTTACAGTAAGAAAGACACAACCATTCATGCATGTCTTTGACGTGTAGGAGGAAGCCAGGGTACGCAGGGGGAACACAAAAGTGCAGAAAGGCTGCAGATGTGATGGGTTCAAACTGGGCAGTGTCTTGCTGTGAGGCAACAGTGCTAACCACTGCACCACCATGTCGCCAGCTGACTTTGTGACAACGAGAACTTATAACTCATTAATCACGGTCTTTGGTACTCTGCTATTTAGCCTGTATTTGTTTAGATTTTAGAACATTAAGTATGCAATTTCTCTTTTTCTAATCTAACGTCAGATATGTTAACTAACAGCATTAAATACACTGACACTGAAGAAATTTAAAAAAACTGATGATCCATGGTAAGCTGTGATGCACTCCTTTTTTCTGGCCCATTACATCCTTACAGTGAGTTACAGCTTTTTTCACCAAATTGGCTATTAACTGTTTTTTGCTTTGTATGAGATAATATCTCAATTTAATGTTTTCTTTTTTCTTTTTAAAGAAAGCAGTGATGTAATTAAGAAAGTGCACATGCTCCACTGCTTATTGAGCTACATGCATACAAATAGGTTGTACAGCTAGTATGACCAAATTTCCTGCATCCAACTGGACCGTTGCAAAGCCACAGTTTGATTTAACGTTAAGCAATAGTAACTAGGCATGTTGAGCTTTCAGAAGAGGGGGAAATTCAGAATGTGTGCAAATGAAACCTGCAAATCACATATACTGTTTTAAAATATTCAGCTGACAAATTAAATAGTGAATGTGGCTTCCCAGCACAAGTGCTTTCTCTCATTCATTTCAGAGATTTACTATTATTTCCTTCGGAATGTCTCTCATTGACAGTTGAAAATGCCATAAATTGACACGCTGGGTACTGGAGCAGCACCCGACAGGGGCGGGACTTGGCTAAAGGTCAGAAGCTTTTATTTATTTTTTTACATTTTTGTCTCATACCGCCACCCGTGCATTTCACGCAGGCTGACAAGACGTCATCATCATCGAGTGGCGAACCTATTTTGTGGTAATGGAGTATGAGTAGAAAATATATTTATAGATTATTAAGATCTTGGTTAAGAAAATGTTCTTACCCATAAGGCAGGCAGTAATTATTATATTTAAAACTTTTGTTTGTGTTTTAATTATCCCGAAGTCACGCCTAAATAGTGCTCTGTTAGTTTAGACACTGTGATTAGAGACAGATGTTAGCCAGGTAGCCTGTCATACTTAGAGACAGCTTATTACACCCATCTCATATTTGAACAGATTGCATTGTTAAAGCGAATCCCAGACAGTAAAAGAATCCAGTGCTGGGTGCAAGAAATCCTGAACTTGAGATCATCAGGTCGTAAACCTAAGAGGTGGTGCTGAATGCAAATGTGGAGCCATAAAGAAAGACCGTCCACAACGCCCACAGGCAAACACAACAAAAGGGGAGGGGGAGACAAGTGAAGGACATAAAAGAGGTGAGACAAGACAGATGATACAAACAGTTTGACTTGGGGGGGAAAAAAACTGTAGGATGGGCTGGATGCACAGAAGACGCAGAAGAGGAGAAAGAGATCTGCTGGAGAAGAATAAATAATTTAACACTGAAAAACAACTAAAAGTAAACTAGAGCAAAAAGGATGAAAGAGAGAAGGAGATAAAAGAGAATTGTGATGGTGTGAAAAACAAAACTCTCCCCACCCCTGTGATACAGGACACTACAGCCGATCAGTGAATCCCCCACCGGAAACCCTTGGGCACTTTAGTAGAATTTTCCAGCACTTTCTCACGCACTCGACAGATGGGCCCATCCTGTACAGTGGCTAGATCATTTCAGAACTGAGGGACAAATCCTGCAGCATTCACTTAACGAGATTTATTTCGTCAGTTCAACTTGTCAGGTATATAAAGGGAATGATAAATCAAAGAAGGGGCAATAATCCACGGGACAAAAGAATAGTGACTGAATAAGGTCATGCAAGAGATGAATGGATGAACTCCTCGAAAGCAAAGGCATACAATACTATGCAAAGGTCTCAAGCCACCCCTCATTTCTTGATATTTTCCTTCCGAGAAGCCAGACTTTCTTCGGACATTTCAAAGTGGTCTTGGGCAGTAGTTCTCCAGAGTTTCTGATTTCCTTTGGTTGTTGCCTACTTTTTCACTCATTTTTAGTCCACTCCTAGTACCTGAGCATTTTTAGAGGAATGCTGTTTTGCTTCTTATGCCACTTAACACTGACCTATGAACCACTCAAGAACCACTCCAGCTCAAGGGATAAACAACTGTGTCTATATATACAACTAAGCAAAGAACTGAATTTTCTAAAAGTATCTAAATGAAGGATGGCTCAAGACTTTTGCACAGTACTGTAAGTACAGCAGAAGGTCAGGGGTAGAGTGATTAACAAGGTTACTCAGAGAAGTCTGTCAACAGTATTAAATATTATTCACTATGTGGCCATGTAAAAGCTCACTATCAAACACTTAAGTTGGGTAAGCTTTTGGTTAATTTTATTTACCCTGATGAGTGGTCTAACAGAGGATTGGTGCATTCAGACATCCCATCAACATTTCTAGTTGGTGAAAAACCAAGAGTGAATGACAGGCAGCACCAACCAACCTTGGATGGCAAAGTTTACTGATAGTTTCACGCTGTTAGGAACTAATCGCCTCTCTTAAAACGATCCGCAACATAAATCACATATTTCAAAGTACACTGCTTGAATCACATGCACTAATTAAAATGCTCAAGGTTTTTGTCTTCTTCAGCTTGTATTCTTCTGAATGTTTGCTTGAGAAAGGGCAAGTTGCTGAAGGTTGTTGAAGAATCTTGCCCGGAGTGTTTAAGTCTCATTAAGTCTAATCAGTATGCTATTATAGGCAGATATAGCAGTATCCACTGAACTAAGACCCCGATGGTACAACTTAAGCACACAACGAAGGTCAGTGCATCATCAGAGAAGGAACTTACCTTCAGGCTGCTATGTGTAATGGAATTTTTCATATAAATCATGCTTAAATGACTAAACTGCATGTTTTACTGTTAATTATAATATTTTGGAGTTTCTGTTGGGTGGAAAAGAAAGGACAGATGATTTTTAGGAAGCAAATCGCGACAGATATTTTGAAGATACAGTACAAGATTGTTTTCTTCCTCTGGCTCAGAGTAAAAGACTTACTGCTGCACTTTGAATGATCCAAACAAACCAATATCTCAATAATAAATCAAGCTGAAGTTAAACAGACTGAGTTATCAGACTCACAAAGCCTGATAATCGTGAATCACAGGCGCGACTACCAGCTGAAATGTGATAACTGCCAACACAGACAATGCTGAATAAAAAAACAAAAAAACAACAAGCACAAAAAATTTCTTTTGTGTTGTTTTTACAATAGTCATTGATAGAGATGCAAATAATAATTTTGTGTTGCACATACAAAAAGAGCTAAAAAAAACAAACAAAAAAAACAAGCTGAAGCACAGTTTCAGTCAAAACCATAAGAACGATGTATGTTCTCACCCTGCTGAGGCTGTCCGTGAAAGCAACACGTGAAAAAAAACCCCACCCGCACAGCTGTCAGCCGATTGTGACAATGCATTACTGTGCGATGAGGCGAGTGTCACATTCCTGCCAAAATCGCTCGAGCTGTTAATCATAATATAATTGTATGGAGCAAAGCTAGTCTTTTAACAGTAGGCTTGTTTTAACTGGGCTGCTGTAAGTAACAAGGCCATGCTTTTGACTCATGAAGCCATAAAACTGACTGATGCTGAATGGGGCAATAAAACAAGGAAACAACATCTATAAGCAGACCACAGCACCTAACTCTAAAAAAGAAAATGTACACATGTGGCTTCCACTTTGTCCTTTTACAACACACATCCATTAAAATAGTTATATACATTTTTAAAAATCTATAATATTCATATAGTTTAATGGCATAATAAAGCTATTACAGTTATGGCGCATAAAGCCAGCAGCAACAGCCCTTAATATTAAAAGTACAGCAAAAGGTGATGCAATTTTGCTTGTATGATGTCAATAAGAGTGAATTTATTTCACACCCATGCAGCAACATGCTTCCTCTTGCCTGGAAATGTTAGATGACGTGCTGCGGCAGCTTCTCGAGCCACAACTCCCGCCACGCAGGCTCTGCGGCTGTTCTAACCTGTCAACATCCTCGAAATGAGGATCCACGACCGTCACGCGCAGGTCGGGTAAGCGGTGAGGCCCGGGCCCCGAAGCTTTATCATAGCGCTGATATGATGAGAAATGTAAATGTCAGTTGTCACCACTGCAGCACTCAAAGGATGTCAACAAAGCAAGAGTGTCACTGTCTCTCCACAGTGGCGTCGGGACTCATAGAAATGATCGTGGAGCACTTCTGCTGTATGGCTGAATGTCACTTTCCTCCGGGTGATTTTGGCTTTTTGGGGGGAATGTATTTTTATGTAAAGATATACTATTTCTTACTGCACGCCTGAAACATCCAATTTAAATTCAACAACCTCCATTATTTCTCGTAGCGGGAGAATATAGGCCACCATTATTGAAGCAAAAATACATGCCGCTTTCTCCAGTTTGTGATAACGTGAAACACTTAAGCCTGTCACCCTACAAGTCTCCGGTAATTGAACTGCTTCGTTTGGTATTCAGCAAACTATCCCCTACAAGCGCTGCCTATTTTGGTCTCTAATTACAAAGAAATAGGCAATTCGGTCTCCCTCACTTGGTGTAGATATTAAATGGGTGGGGTAGGACCGAGACGCCTTAGTAATATGATTTTGGATCCCTGCCTTTCTATCACTCGCTCTTCTGTCTGTCCCCATCCGTCACCACGTTGACAGGCCTCTTAAATGGCAGAGGAGGATCTGATATTTTGGCGTGGAGAGCTGGCTTTGAACAAAAGCGGCTCAAAAAAACGTCTTAGCTACGGCTAATATGACAGCTCTCCCCCAGATGAATGTGACTTTTGACAAATGAATGCTGTTACACCTTTGGCTGTCCAGCAAGTCAGGCACCCCACCACCTCCATTTGAAGCACAGATGGGTTTATTTTTCAGGTGTGCTTTCAAACCTGTGAAGTCTACTTCCTATCCAAACACTGCACTAGGTTGTTGCATTAACAACCTCTTTTGTTCGTGCACGTGTTCATGCAAGCTCTCTGCGGCAATCACAGATAGTACTGGGTATTTACAGGAAGCTTTAAGTTTCTGTGTTATGTTCCACTTAATGTGGAAGCAGTCAGTTAATACATTTAAGACAGAATTCTGAAAGTGAATTACGCACATATTTGATCACGGTTTTAGTCAAATAAGAACAAAAAGCCTCTTAAATGTGATGTTTTGCAGTTTTCCACTGCTTTATATAAAACTGTAAGATTTACATCTTTAGGTTTAATGACCGATAACTGATATTGCTGTTTCTTTGAGCTCAGGGAAATTGTGATGGCCTTCAGGTAATTTAATTAATTAACTGAATAACAATGAAGTTGCAGCCCTAGCTGTATGTGGGGCAAATATGTAGGACTTCTAAAATCTCTAGCTGGATGTAAAATAGTGACTAAAAATATCTACTGCTGGTAGTTTGTTTTTAACAAGAGACAATTTCTTATTTTCCTTTCTTTCTTTTTTTTTTCTTCTTAGATCTCTATAGAAATAACACTGATATCCTCTTTATAAAGATACTCGTCTGAAACATGTCACATCAAGCATGGTTATGAGATACATAACCAGAACTTAAAGAGGAAAACTTTATCATGGTACACTCAGGAAACACTGTTTACAGATTGTCTGTACACTGAAGTTGATTCTTGTTCCTCTGAAATGGTTGTTTTGGAGACAAGGACTAGTTCTGCGACCCCACGCAATCAGTCATTGCCTCAAACGATTTTTTGGTGCAGTAAGTCTGAGAAAGACCGCCAACTGTGCCACACAGTGCCAACTGTGGCACGCGTGCCTAGGGTTGCCAACTCCTGCTGTAACTGGACTGAACTTCAGTTGGGAGAACTGAGATAATCCATCCACAATACGAGGTTAGTTATCAACATACTGCTGCATGGGCTGAGCTGTAGTTACATCGTAAGGTTTTAAAAACTGAGCTTAGCAGTAATAAAAACCGAGAGAGGCCGACAGTGATCACAGACTGTTTTTAGGGCCTTGTTGAGATTAAATGGAACAAGATACAAAGCTTTTAACACATGTAAAAAACACAAAAGCCTTATTAAAGGCAGAGTAGTTTGGGCCCGGAAGCAGGACTCATTACGTCATCACTTAAAGACCGAATAGAGTCACTCTATTAAACATTTTAGCTACAATTCCATAAAAAAAATGCCTCATTTGTAAAGAATTCAGTCTAATCTGTCTGTGGGTCACGCAGTGTTACTATAAAATCTGCTTAGACTGGATTTCTGTTCTGAGTGTATGATCCTGGTCACACTGATACCAAGTGTTAAGAAAGACATCTCCTTCTCCAAGAGTTTCTGCTCTAGGAAATAGAACCACAAACGTCAGACCAACTGCTTTTGGTACTTGCCAACAGGCAGACGATCAAAGCGATCAGTGGAAGATCAAAATTAGCAGCCTACCAGAGTTGCAGTCATCTCCAGCATATCCATCCTGACAGACGCAGAAGCCCTCCTTGCAGATTCCCTTCTTGCTGCAGTTGTTTGCACAGTAGACGAGCGAGCAGTCCTCTCCCACATACCCAGGCCGGCACTGGCACGTCCCGTTTATGCACAGCCCCTGGTCCGAGCAGTCATTGAGACACCTTCCGACCATGCAGTCTTCACCTGTGAACGACTCCTCACAAACGCACTCCCCATCGATGCACAATCCGCGGCCAGAGCAGTCCGAAGGGCAGCGCGGCTCCGAACAGTTGTCACCTCCAAAGTCACGGTCGCACACACACTCCCCTTCAACACACACCCCTTGACCGGAGCAGTCATTTGGGCAGCGAGGCTCAGAGCAGTTTTTGCCGGTCCACCCTTCCTCGCAGATGCAGCTGCACATATCGAAGCTGAAGCTGCCGTGGTTGCTGCAGCCTGGGACAAAGTCCAAACGGCCTGAAAAGACAGATTGAATCGCTGAGTACTTGATTCAAGTACAAAACCTCCCACACACATCTTTAAAGTGGGAGTTTGAAAAGTTAGGGTCACATTACTTTGTGCTTTTTTTGATACCTACCTCAAGTAACCACCATGAAATACATAGCATATTTGAAGAAACATATCAATTCAGTATAGAATAAAAAGTAACAACCAATCAGTTATCATTTAGTCAATGTGGTCAAACAGCCCTGATTAAAGAAACAGTAGTTAAATCTAAAATACTCCAACTTTTTCTACTTTGCCTTTCCCATCCTCCTATTGCTCTCGCAGGCTAAACATGTCATCCTCTTTCTGATTCTGATCGTGACTGCTGGAGATAATCATATTCTCACAGTGGAGATGGAGCGTTTTCAGAAAATATTTGACGGGGGGGATGGTGTCAATGGAGCAAATCCTTTAGCCATAATAAATTCTGTAACTCTATCAGTTGCAGTCCCCTCATATTATAACGGCAGCATCTCTTGAATAGACAACAAATTTTTGCCAGTAACAAAGGTTTCTCCACACATTTCAGACTGTGAGCAAGACAAAAAGAGGAAGAAGAAGAAGAAGAAAACCCACCTTCCAGCATCAATATTTTACTGGCGTCTGTCTTTTCTTTTCTGCCTGGTTTACAGTTCATGTAATTCTTTTCATAACGCAGTCTTATTTCTTTGCATTTTTGCCTCAAAAAGCTCTCTGCAACACCACGGTCTGTTTGTACAGATGCCGAGGGGATTTATAGACAAAAACTACATTCTACAAGTTTGTCTATAGTATTTGTTGTCAGTGTTAAACAGTACTCACCAATGGCCGAGCTCTCCCCGCAGCATCCGGATCCACACTGAGCTCTGAGCATGGAAACCTCTCTCTCTAGCATCTCCACCCTGGTGGCAAGCTGCTGGATTGTGGCCGTTGCTGGACAACCGCACGCTGCTTTGGGGATATTGATGCGGTGTGTAAATGTCACCTAAACAAGGAGAAAATTTTTACAACTAAGTGCATCCATTAGATAAAAGAGTCACCATGAAGTAGAAATGCATCTTTATATAACATCTTGAGGAAATCCCGAGTATATGCACACACAAATATCTCCTTTCAAGGTGTTTTTATTACACAACCAAGAGGTGCTTAGAAACATTATCATTCATTGGGAGTCGTGCTCATGGCTTCCACAGATAGCTCTGTGATTCACCCTTTTAGCTCTGTTTTTGTGCTACTCTCTCCTGATGTAAATAGCTGTCTCTTTAGCTGCAAAAAAGTCTCTGCTGTATTCACCAGATAGTTGCCAGCTCTGCTGTTTAATGCTGAGCAGGTAGAGTGGGTTTTTAGAGCTTTATTCCCCAAAAACAGTTGCCTGCTGCAGCAAAAAATCAATGCTATGAGAATGACGGGAGCTTACCAAAAGAGTTGTTGGCCAAATCGCTAGAAGATAAGCTAGACTAGCTATAAGCTCTGTAAACCCAGGGAAGCTGTGGATTTGGGTGATAATTCTCTGTAGGTTTATCACTCTGAGCTGCAGTGTTCACATTATGAAATGTTTTTTCACATTGTCACGTTCTCATTCTAGCATTTTAAACTTCTAATTATTTATAATGGATGAGTCGGCAAAGACTGTTGAGCTGCATTTCATGCTCCAAAGCCTGAAATAGCACTAATTATATGACTTCTTACCTTGTGTGTGCTTGTGTAGAATCATTTAGAAACAAATATAATTCATGGATAATCATAAAGCTTTAGAGGTGTCCAGGTGAGACGTAAATGAAGGCCACATTTAAAGGACAGATACAGATAGGGAACAGATCCATCGTGACAAAGTTATTAATGTCTGGCCATCTATTTTTTTCCCTTCCATTCCTAGAGTTTCTCAACAACCCCCTTCCTTTTCTTTATTAGCATTGTCATTTAATTACTTTAATTAACTTAAATAATTAACTATATA